CACTCAGCACTGCACATTTTCCTCTAGGAAAAGTCTGGCAATGAGTCCTTCTCTTTTGCTTTTGCAGCTCCTAGGCATCTGTGGCTACAGAATCAAGTTCAGGGTCAGAAGTGCCCCCAGACGTTTGCCTCCCTATTCCATCATCTTTTAAATTTTTACTTACTATTTTACATATGATGATATTTATTTCTGCCAAGGGCATCTGGTTATGTATAACATCACTAGTGGGCAACACAAAATTATCAACTTCAAAACTAACCTATTGCAGATGAGTTCATGAATTTTGAGTTCCGTAGCCTGTGGTTTCTTTAACAGAGCCAGACCACATGATTTCACAGGCCTACCTTTTATGGCCCACCCCTGAGTGAAATGATCTGACTTATGCCCTGCCCAAGCAGCCAAAACACTGTCTGGGTTTTTCTCACTCAGTACCACAGTGGAAGGGGGGAAGTTCCTGGGCTTAGCTGTGGCATAGATAAGGCCAAATACAGGAAAGCTGCACTTCCTTCTTGGACCCCTGATGATCACAGGATCATATCCCAGTTCTGGCTCTGCAACACATGCCCAAGATTGGTCTGGGCTGGTTTCCTCTGAGCTGTGCTATTAGGCCAGCCTTTCACAGAAAATAAAAGATGATCTCAAGCCTAGGGGAGTTTCCCACCTGGCTTAATCAGGCAATGTTTCCTGTCATGGGACCTCAGGAAAAAAAAAAAAAAAAGCAACCTATCAGTTGCTTCCTAGCCTTTGGAGAAAGCGCCCGCTTCTTTGCTGCTTGTTTAAAGAGTTATTTATTTTTTACTGGAAAATCAGATTTACAGAGAGAAGGAGAGACAGATAGATCTTCCATTCACTGGTTCATTCTTCAAGTGGCCGCAATGACTGGAGTTGAGCTGATCCAAAGCCAGGAAGGAGCCCGGAACTCCCTGTAGGACTCCTGTGTGGGTGTAATGTCCCAAGGATTTAGGCAGTCCTCAACTGCCATGCCAGGCCACAGACACAGGGATTTGGAAGGGAAATGAAGCTGCCAGAATAAGATCTAGTGCCCATATGGGATTCTGGCGCATATAAGGCAAAGATTTAGCCAGTTGGCTATTGCACTGTGCCCTGGAGGAAATGTGTTTTAGTCAAGAGGGAAAGAACTCAAATTTCCAGTCTTTCCTGGAAGTCTCTTGCAGGCTGGGTAGGGATACCCCTTTGATAGCAGGCTGACCCATGTAAGCTCACACACATCGTCAGATGCCTGACCAGCTAGCAGCAAATCCACTCTCAGAACAGCATGCAGGAGGTAAAGGAAGCCACACCCAAATCTGCTGGCTTTTTAGCAAAGTAAGAGCTGGCAGATGTTTCCTGCTAATGCTTAACCTAAACTGCAGTAGTGCACAGGCTCTGTGTAACTTGAGTGTGTGTGTGTGGTTATTTTCTAAGCGTCTAAGAAACTTCATGAAGTGATGTGAATTTCGACCATTGCTTCCGGAATCACTCTTAGCCTTGTTTCTTCATTCTGTTGGGTTGTTATCAAGATGTATGAGTTTCTGTTTCGAGGTACAAAGCTCATTTGCACGTCACCGTGGTAACGCCTTGTGCACTTTATGTGAGGAGGGCACCTTCTGACCTCTGCCTCACTGATGCACTCCAGTGAGTCTTTCTCCACCTCTCCTCTGTCCAGTGTCCATTACCTGGCCCAGCCCTAGCTGGCCCAGCCTGCAAGGGCAGCATGTGTACTCCTTTTAGTTCCTCTTCCCTGTCTCTGGAATTTCTTGAAAAGTTTCTCTCTCCCTCTTTCTTTCTTTTACGAGACTTTTTTTTTTATGATCTTTACATAGTTGATTAGGGCTCAAAGAGACAATGGCTACAGAAAAGTGTGTAAGATCATTGTTTTCACATTCTCTTTTCTCCTTCCTCTATCTGGGGGAAAGTAAGAGACAAAGGGAGAAGTCCCATTCAACCTCCCAACCATCTAAGCGTCTCTGATGTGGGGCATGCTCCTAGGGCACTCCTCAAGTGGTTTCAACAGTTCAACTGTTCTGAATTACTGCTAATCTCGCTATTCTAAGCATGATGAAGTCTCTCTAGAATCCACTGACTGGTTTGGTCCACCTTAGCATCTCCACTTGCCCAGATTTTCACTGCCAACACTTGGCTGGGCTAGTTGATTAATTTGTTCTGTTCTCTGTTCTGGTACCAGGTGTCCTCTGCAGGCTCCAATGTACTACCATATCTTCCATGTGCACCTGGATATGCTGTCCACTGCTCTGTCTGAGCCTCTGAGGAGGCTCAGCTTTGACACATGCACTCCATGGTCAGACCATGGAACCTGCAATTCTCTTCATGGTTGGGGTTCTGAGTCCAGCAATTCGATTGGGGGATCCCCAAAGAAACTTTGTCAGAGGTGATCCCAGACCAGATTCTTATGTGTGCTTGCCAGTACAGGGTCCAGCACAGACCATTGCCCCAATCAGCCTATGCATATGCTAGTGGTTGCAATTGCTGGATCAGTTCTGTTTCCAGCTCTGTCTTCTACACAAACCAATGGGTGTTGGAACCTATCCAGATCCTGTCCACCACACACTTGGCCATGTAAACCATGTAGGAGCTGCAGCCTAATCAGAATGACCCTCATTACCCCCCACCAAGCCCACTTCCTGCCCTGGTTCCTATGCTTGCCAGTATGTACAGCAGACTGGTCCAGTCTGTTCCACATCCCATTCAGCTCTCATATGTGTCAATGGGCATTGAAGCCTAGTTCAACCCAACCAGGCCCACTATCCAGCCCACACACCTGCTGATGGATACTACTCTCTCATGCCTGCCCCATTCCTGGTTCTCATGCTCACCAGACAGAGTGGCAACCCAAGAGGGAGGTGCCCACTGTTTCCCTGCTGGGCCCAATCCTGGATCATGCACTCTCTAGATGGTTCTGCAATTTGGCTTGACAGAATTAGCTCCCCAGTGCCAGCCAGCCTCTGCCAGCTGATGCTGTAGCAGACCCCAATCAACCCACACCCACTCTGACTTACGCTTGCATCAGTAAGAACAGTCAACCCAGCTTGACTTTTCCCTGGTCCAGGTCACATGAGACCCAATAGGCGTTGTAGCTGTCAGGCCTGATCTGCCCCCATCCCAGTTCATGTTCTGTAGTGGGAATGGTGATACAGCAGGGGAACACCATGCTGCCCTCCTACTGGCTTTGCCCTCTCCCTCTTGGGTCTTACGTTTTTGGTTGGATGCCGCAGCCTGGTCTGGCATGGCCTGCCGTGCCTCAGCGTTTGCCAGTGGATGCTGTAGTCCGGCCCAGCCAGCTCATCCCCAATTCCAGCTCAGGTTTCTCTTTTTTTCATCAGATGAGATAGAAAGCAGTCAAGACTGAAACTTGAAAATTTAGGGTTTCTCTGACTTGTTTGCATCTTGGATGGTTGGTTGAACACACACACACACACACACACACACACACACACACACACACACACACACAGATTTTCTTTAACTCTTCCTTTTCCTTCTGTTACTGCTCCATCTCCCCCTTTCTGCTCAATTTATTGCAGGAATAGTTCACACACACTCCTTTCATTAACTCAACTCTTAGTTCCATTTCAACACATTCCAGTTTGACTTCAATCTAAAGCAGATGAAACTCAGCTTGCTAAAATCCCCAAGAGCCATCTCATAGCCAATTTTCAGATTCTCAGCATTTTCTGCCCTTGGTTCTCTTCCTGGAATGCTGTGTTCCAGCCATAGCGGCTCATCATCTTTCACAAAGCAGTCCAGGAATGCCCTCCCATGTGTGGTTTGTGTGGAGCTTGTGGTGGGGAGAGATGGATGATAGTAATGAATGATACCACTACTTAAGTCATCTTTAACTCTTACCTCATTTCTTCACACATTTCCACTTCATCCTCCCAATTCCCCAGAACAGACTTCAGCAGCGCCTCTCCAGTCCAGCACCATTGCTCTTCCACTGCTGTGGATAGATCTTGATCATTTCTTCTCTAATCCATTTCTTCTTCCAGCCTACCGCCTAAGACTTCTATTTAGCAACAGATCTGTTCATGCCATTGATATCCTTGATCCCAACCCTTGACCACATGCTCATGTGATGTGTATGATCCTTTCTCATTTCAAACGAGATCTAGCTCCCACTTGGTATGGGTTGGTGTTTGTACCCATATCTTCTTCCTAGCTTCATAGAAGGCTCTGGCCCCTTGCAGCCTTTAAACTGTTCAGTGTGATGGGTGGAGACTTCCTCCCCAGCCTATGCCGGCAGCCTGATGGTGGCATTGGATGCTCACTTTCTCAGCATTCTTTTCTGTGGGCTCCATGATAATTTTGTTTACATATATGTTTTTCACAGGCAAATCAGTACATTGACTGGTCCTGATCTCTGGAAAGTTTATGGTAACTTCCACCCCATAGATCATTCAGATTTCGAAGAATCTTAGCTGGTTTGTGATTTCTTCCCTATCCAGGAGTGCTTTGAGATATTTTCTTTCAAAATACCAAATGTAAAAGTTTCTCAAGCCAAATTTTCTTGGAGCTTATAATCCGTTCTCCACTGACAGTTGTGAGAAAGAGGTGGTGTAGCTCGATGACTGATGTTGGCATCAGAGTGTATTGACTCAGCCAATTATAGACTTTGTGACCTTGGGAAAATGATTAAACCTTTCTGTCCTTCAGTCATTTCATCTTCAAAATGAGGAATATGATAGTTTCTCCTGCATTGGGTTGTTTTGACATTGCTACTTAGCAAATGCTGTACTTGGTGTGTGTAGAGTTACCTATCGTATCTATACAGGGTGTCTGGTATTAATAGGATCACAAAGAGATTCGTTTAGATAGAGCTCTTCTCTTAAACTACTGAACCCCCGCAGTGCATGAAATACACTTCAAACATGACTGCAAAGCTTGGTTCTTAGTGGCCACACAGGTGATTTATTTAAATTTGTTTAATATTTGAATGTATAATCACTAGACAGGTAAAAATGGCTCCCTGGATTCTCTTGCAGAACTCTCTGAAGTTTTTGGACTATCTGGAGAAACAAGGTAAAATACGGGAAAACGATCTGACGTTCCTAGAAGAACTCTGCAAAAAAGTCACCCCGAGCCTTACAAGAATAATAGAGAAGTATATAGAAGAGAAAGGTAAGAAGTGGACACTTGGTGACTTGCACCCGATTATGAGAATTCTTAAAACAATTTTGGCCATGTTTGCTCACCATTTGGTTAATGTCCTCTTGGGAAAACCATAAATCTCCCCTTTGTTCCTTCAGCATGTTTATTGAAAGCACACTTGATGCTTGGCACTGTTGGAAGTATAGCAAGAACTTAGCATCACTCCCACCCATAAAACTTACTTCAAGGGGAGAAAGTAGTTTTAGATAATTGTCCGTGTGTGATTTTTTTTTTATGGTAGTGAGGATATAGAAAGTTGTTTTCAGTGAAATGACAACAAAGAAGGAGGCAGGATAGCACAGGGTTAAGAGTGGGGGCCGAAGACTCTAGTGGCTAGGACTGCTTGTGTAGCGTGCTGGCTTTTTCTTTAGCTTTTCCATGTTTTCCTTCCCCCCATTTGTAAAGTGGGCATAGTTCTAGCACACACCTCATAGGGTTGTATGAGAATTGAGTGAGTTAATCCCTATAAAATGCTTCTCTGGTGGGAATTGGCATTCAGTGCATGGTTTTATGGCTGCATTTGTTAAAGGGATTCATGAAGAAGTTTATTTTATTGTTATATTTTTTTCTAGTCTGCATTGTAAAGACAGTTTTTGCTGTGATACTATATGGAGGTGGAAGCCCACAGAACAAATCAAATATGGGTTAGCATGATATATATTCAGGTGTGTCTTTCTCCACTGTTGAGCTGGAACTCAAATGCTGAAGGACATATTTGTGAAGATTTTTATGCCACACCCAACTCATGCTTAATACAGTGAGTCAAGCTGTTGTGCAGATTTCTTGGACTGCAAAAGGAAACTAAGAGGAAATTCTCCTTTAAGAATTCATTGAATACAAAGTGAGGGACAAAAATACTGCTGTCAAGTTGATAAAATCTCAAAATTGAAGCATTGAAGAAACATGTAATTAAAGGAAAAGTTACAAAGAATTCAAAAATTGCTGACCCTGCAGTTATCGAGTGAGAACTAAAAAGCAGGAAGTTGATAGTGAAAGAGTATTTCACTGGCCTGCAGGTGAACTTTGAGTACTGAGGTTGTTTTCTGATGTTGTTTTCCTGTAATGAGTTATCATTAGGCGACCATAATATTTTGGATGTATGAATTATGGAGGAGTTGCCTAATTTCTATGCAATTAGTGATTGGCTCAATGAGTCTTGAGGACTGAGGTTTCTATCAGGAGAGTTTTTTCTTCCTGCTCTGTGTGTGTGTGTGTGTGTGTGTGTGTGTCTGTTTTTCCCACCGGCGCACCTATCCAGCTGCTTGCCCACTCTTCAATCCCTCCGTCACTTTTGTTTAAATATCCATTCTTCCCTATTGGAAAAGCAGATCAGATCCACAGAGAAAAAGGAAAGATAGAGAAAAAGGTCTTCCATTGGCTAGTTAACTCTCCTAGTGACCCAGAGCTGAGCTGATCCAAAGCCAGGAGACTGGAGTCTCTTCCAGATCTCCCACGTGGGTGCAGGGTCCCAAGGCCTTAGGCCATACTGTACTGCTTTCCCAGGCCACAAGCAGGGAGCTGGATGGGAAGTGGATCAACCGGAACACAAACTGGTGCCCATAGGGAATCACGGCACTTGCAAGGCGAGGACATAGCTGCTGAACCATCATGTCAGGCCTTATCCCTCTCTTTTTAAAAATTGTTATTATTTCCATGATACAGTTTTGTAGGTATAGGGATTTCTCCCTTCCCCTCCCCCAGAAGAAGAGTTTTAATTTTGAAGTTTTGTGTCTCTAACCTGCTTGCATGTGATCTTTTTGGGGTGTCAATTATTATAAAGAAGTAATGTTAGTTTTCTACAATGCTAAGGGTTTGGTTCAAGTCTGTTTAAGATGAGAAATAAAAGGACTGCATAGGGCTGCAGATTTTAAACTTCTCTGCAGGTCAGTGTGATTCCAAGTCCAAGTTCTCTGAATGCAATTGGGACATAGGTTGATTTGGAGACCAGTAGGCTGAAATTCAGAGAATTCTTGAGTGTCAGTGTTCATCTTAGTGTTTTAAAGTTTTTAAAATAAATTATATGATGATAATGAATTAACATTCAAATAGTGAAAGTAATACAGAATATAGAGGGAGAAAGTCTCCCTTTTCCTCTTTTCTCAGTTACCAACTTATTTCCCAGATATAATCATGGTTTGAAATATATTTTTGCAGAATTTTCTTCTCTATAGAACCAATTGTGTATGTATATATGTAGCATACATAAACTTAACTAGGATCATGCAAACCATATTAAATAATTTGCTTATTTTTCATCTAATATAACTGACATTTTCCATAAATATGATCAGGTAAAACATTATTTCTTTTTCAAGATTTATTTTTGTTTGAAAGGCATAGTTACAGAAAAAAGAAGAGACAGATACACAAACACAGGGAGAGAGAAGAGATTGAAACAGAGCTCTCATTTGCTGGTTGCTGGTTGCTCCTTCTAGGCTGAAGCTGGGAGCCGGAACTCAATTCAGGTTTGCCACAAGGGTAGCAGGAACCCAAGCATTTGAGTGTCACTGCTGCCTCAAGGGTCTACATTAAGAGGCAGCTCGAGCCGGAGCTGAGAACTGAATCCAGGTCCTGACACGTGGGATGCAGGCACCTTAATCAGTGCCTGAATCATAGCCGAGTATTCACTCTAGCTCTTTTGACGGCTCCTCGGAAATCTATTTTACGATGTAACAGATTGATTTAATTATTGCTTTTGCATAATATCTCCCTTTTTTCCCTTTTCTTTCGTTTTTTTTTCCATCTGATGTTATCTGAACTCTGATATCATTTTTAAGATAATCCTTTAAGGATCTCAATAATTATCTTGCACATTAAGCACTGTTAAGTTCTGAAATCATATTTGATAAAGTATATGGCAACTTTTAAGGAACTAATAAAATCACAAAAGTAATAAAACAAAAATCATAAGAAAAAATATACAGGAATCAGTTTTAACAAAAATAGTCAATAAAAATAACATTTATTTCTTGTTTGCATACTCTTATGTACACATTCATATGAAAGTAGTGTTAGAATTTTACAGCCTCCTTAAAATAATTACTCTTGATGGTTGTTTTTGATGATTTGTTATTCCTGGGCTGCTAGCAGTCAGAAATTGATTTTGTTTTACTGTCTGGTTTTATTTCCAGCTGCTGTAGACAAGGAAACTGAGCCATTGCAACAAGAAGAGGAAGAGATAATTTCCCAGGCAGACATTGAACAATTCAATGGAGCCTTACCGGTGGGTACAGTGATGGGCTGGTCAGTGTTTAACCATTTGTTTTACCTTTTGCTTCCAACATCCAAAAAAGAAAAGAAAGATGAAGCACGAGCAAAAGAGAGGCGTAACTGTGCTTGACTCTTGCACAGCCCTGGGTTTCTTTGACATGGTTCCTCTTTGCTGTAGGAGAAGCTCAGTCAGGGTCAGTCTGCTGGGTGTCCAATCTGTGGGGCTGTGCAGGCATGTATGCTTTGTTTAATGCTCTACTGTCATCACTTAGAAATTCTTAGAAATGCATGAACCAGGGCCTTGCAAATCATGTGGCAGGTCTTTCCCAGAGAGCAAGAACTGGGTTCCTGCTTCTTACCATGCTCAATCTGTCCTTCACAATGTGACCATGATACTTGGGAGACATGTGGCATGATTAATGTCTCCCCTCAGAAAACTTGGGTAGCTCTATTATGCCAGCACTTGTCTGCGGAAGTTAGATTAGCTGTAGAGATTGTTGTGTTTTCAACTATGACATACAGGTAGCACAAAATTATCACTTACCTTGCTTTAGAAAAACTGTGATAAAGACATAATAAAATAGCACAAAATATATATATATATTTAAAGATTTATTTTACTTTTATTAGAAAGAAAGAGAGACAAGGATCTTTATCCACTGGTCTGCTCCCCAAGTGGCCACAATGCTCAGAGCTGAGCTGATTCACAGCCAGGAGCTTCCTCTGAGTCTCCCATGTGGGTGCAGAATCCCAAGGCTTTGGGCCATTCTTGACTGCTTCCCCAGGTTACAAGCAGAGAGCTGGAAGGGAAGTGGGGCAGCTGGGATATAAACTGGCACCCATATGGGATTCCAGTGTCTGCAAGGTGAAGACTTTAGCCACTAGGCTGCTGCTCTGGGCCCAAATTTATTGTTTTAATCATAAAAAATTATTATGGTAAGGTACTAAAATACACATGAGATTTGCTGTCTTAGCCAGTGGTGAGTCCACGGTTCAGTAATGTTAAATAAGTTCACATTGTCATGTTAACATCACTCCAGATTTTTCTCATCTTCCCTAACTGTGATTTTCTACTCATTAAATTGTAACTCCCCTTCTCCTCTTCCTCCCAAACCACGGGCCCCACCTTTCTTTACGTCTCTACGTACTTGTCTATGACAAGTGTCTCATAACTGTGGAATGGTACTATATCTGTTCTTCTGTGACTGGCTAATTTCACTTGGCATAAAGTCTTCAACTTTCATCTGTTTCAGTGTGTTTCAGAATTTTTCTTTTTTAATGGTTGAATAACACTCAGTGTACAGATGCAGTGTATTTGTACTGCATTTTATGCACCTGTTTATCCACTGGTGGATTCTTAGGTTACTTCTGTCTCTTGGCTATTGTGAGTGATGCTGCTGTGAGCACGAGTGCAGACATTTCTTTAAAAAAATACTTTAAGATTTTATTTATTTTTATTGGAAAGGCAGATTTACAGGGAAAGAGACAGAGGAAGGTCTTCCATCTGCTGGCTCACTTCCCAAATGGCTGCAATGGCCAGAGCTGAGCTGATCTGAAGCTATCCTCCTAGGCCTTCCTAGGTCATAAGCAGGTGACTGGATGGGAAGTAGAACAGTCAAGACATGAACAAGCATCCATATGAGATGCTGGCACTTGTTGACAGAGGATTAGCTAGTTGAGCCATTGTGTCAGCTGAGTGTAGACATTTCTTTGAGACTCTGTTTTCCATTCTTTTAGGTGTATGAAAATAAGTGGAAGTGTTGGATCATATAGTAATGCTATTTTTTCTTTTTTGAGGAAACGCCACACTGTTTTCCACAGTGGCCGCCCCATTTTATTATATCTTCTTTACAAACTTTGCACTATACTTCTAACTTCTACATATCTTCATCAACACTTGTTTTATTTATTTGCTTTTGACAATAGCTGTCCTGATGGATCTCATTCGTTTGGTTAACATTTCCCTCATGTCTAGTGCTGTTGGTGGTTTTTTTCATGTGCTTGTTGTCTATCTGTATATCCTCTGTGGAGAGATATCCATTCAGATCCTTTCCCTGTTATTTGTGGAAATTCTATTTTTTCTTAATTTTTTTAATGGTTTCTTTATTTTCATGTTGTTTTCAGAGTTACAAATTTTGAATTTGCAAAGAATTTAAATCTTAATGAAAAATTGCAAGAATGTGAATAATACAAAAAAATCACATATTGTATTAGTTGGTTTGCTGTTCCTGCTGTGAACTACCCGAGGCGGGATACTTTGTCCAGAAATAGGCTCATAGTTCTAGAGATTCGAGGGCATGGTGCCAGTGTTGGCTTGGCTCTGATGAAGGCCTAAGGGTAGACAGGTGACAACACAATAGCAGGAACACTTGCCATCAGATGGTGTGACAGGAAGCCCAAGCTTGGGGAGGAGCCAGTCTTGCTCTTGATAATAAGACTTTCACAATAACAGACTCCTTAGGGCCCCAGCTCATAAAATGCTCACCACCTCTAAGTGCTACCACATTGGAGAGCAAGTCCCCAACACGTGGGCCCCTGAAGGACAGCCTGTGTCTAGAACTCTGTTTACCACCCCGTGGATGTGCTGCTGCTCATGTACATGCTCACTCTCTCACACCTTTTCCCTCCACACACATAAGTTTTCTCCAGACTTTGTGACAGTGGGTTGCATACAGCATGGCCCTTTCTCCTCCTGGTGTGTAGTTGTTAAGAATAAAGATTTTCTTTTACTGCAATATAGCACAGTTGTCCATGCAATCAAGTGAAATTTGTACAATACTTTTGTACAATTGATGGTCCACATTGCTAGTTTTGTTTGTGAAACCAATAATGTTCTTCTTTGTATTTTTCCTCTCCAGAACAAAATTTAGGATCACATATTTTATATATGCAAATACCATACATACAGACATACTTACAAACCAATATCTGTAATATAAATATTAAATGTGCTTGTCACGTCCCTTTAGAGTCCTTTAATCTTGAACATTTCTACAACTTTTCTTCCTCTTTTAGGACACTGAAACAGTCGAAGAACGCAGCCAATCCTCCTGACTTTCATAAAAAGCACAGAATCTGGCTCTGTTTTGGTGTGGTGTTTCCTCATGATTAGATTCAAGCTTTGCATCCTGGCCAGCCTATCACCTGATTGATGCTATATCTGGCTTAGGGCCTAATGTCTGGAACTGCATGTGTCCATCTTCCTCCTATTAGGGATGCTCCTCTATGATATTTCTTCACTTTGCAATTCACTTGGTATCTTTTCCCCTGCCCACCTAACAAATGAGCAAGGGGGAGACATTTTAACACTCCACAAGCATCCTGCTCTGCATAAAATCTCTTCCCTAGATTGAGACTCCTCTGTGGAGTTTTGTGTGATCTAGGATTTATCATGTTGGTGAAAAAGCAATCCTTTCCAACCACAGGATTCTTACTTCAATTACAAGTCAGCACTCAACAAGGTCCTTCCGTTTCCCTCTAGAAGTGCGTTCTTGTTATTTTCTATAAAGGAGGTGATGGAGACCCACAGATGACCTGTGGATCCAAGACAGGCAAAGGACATCAGGGAGATGTGCATTCCATGTGAGAATGTGACATGGAGTCTGAGTCCCCATGTGACAGGTACGGGTGTTTAGATATCTAAAGGGATCCAGCTGGTGGGAGGGCATTGTGTACATGATATTAAGAGATTAAATGCATCATTTATTAAGAACAATGTTGACATCTCTTCCTGCCTACTGAATTTATGAGTCCCATCTGCTTCCTCTGAAAGAACATAACATAGCACCATAATTTTCTTTGTAAAAAGATTGAAAGATTGAATTATTCAAAAGACAGATTTGCAGAGAGGAGATACAGAAAGAGAAAGAGAGCGAGAGAGAGAGAGAAGAGGAGAGAGCTTCTATCTGCTGGTTCACTTTCCAAATGGCCACAATAGCTAGAACTAGGCCAGGCTGAAGCCAGGAGTCAGGAGCCTCATCCAGGTGTCCTGTATGGAATACAAGGGCCCAAGACTTGGGCTGTCTTCTGGTGCTTTTCCAGGTGCATCAGCAGAGAGCTGGATCAGAAGTGGAACTGCCAGGATTCACACTGCCATGCCTACTATTGCCTACTATTGCAGGTGGTAGCTTAGCTTGTTACACCAGAGTACTTGCTCAGACCATTCGTTCCTTTTTTTTTTTTAAAGATTTATTTATTCATTCATTCATTTATTTATATATTTGTTTTGGAAAGGCAGATTTACAGAGAAAAGGAAATACAGAGAAAGATCTTCCATCTGCTGATTCACTCCCCAAGTGGGTGCAATGGCTGGAGCTGAAGCCACGAGCCAGGAATTTTCTTTTTCATTTTACTTTATTATTTTTTTAATGTTTTGATAATCTTACTTAGTTACTTAGGGTACAAAGGGTCAAGGGCTACAGGAAAGTGGGTAATACCATTGTTTTCACACTAATATCATCATTTTTCCCCCTGTATCTGGAATCAGGGGAGAAATAAAGGGAAAAGCCCTCCCATCCCAGGCCTCCGACATGGGGCATGCTCCGAGGGTCCTGCTCAAGCAGTTTTGATAGTTCAACAGTTCTGAATTGCTGCCAATCTTGCTGCTCCAAGCACGATGAAATCTCTTCAGAATCCACTGGCTGACATAGTCTCTTCATGGTTGGGGTTCTGAGATCAGCAGTTCAGTTGGAGGGATCTCCAAAGAAACTTTGTCTGAGGTGATCCCAGACCTGATTCTTGTGTGTGCTTGCCAGTACAGGGTCCGGCACAGTCCGTCACCCCAGTTTATGCACATGCTGGTTGTTTCAATTGCTGGGTCAGTTCTGTCTCCAGCCCTATCTTCCACACGAACCGATGGGTGTTGCAGTCCAGCCCAATCCTGCCCACTTCATACTTGGCCCTCACGCAAACCAGTGGGAGCTGCAGCCTAGTTGGGAGGACTCCCTATAACCCCCACCAGGCCTGCCCCCTATCCTGGTTCCCATGCTTGCCAGTATGTACTGCAGACTTGTT